CCCTAGTTGCTGATGCTGATTGGGCCCAGATACTCGCCGCTCCACCTTGGCTACTCTATTTATCTTGGCGATAATCTGGTTTCTTGGAGTGCTAAGAAGCAACCCACTATTTCTCGTTCTAGTTGTGAGTCCGAGTATCACGCCCTTGCCACTACTGCAGCTGAACTCCTTTGGCTCACTCATCTACTTCATGATCTCAGGATTTCCATCTCTCAGAAGCCTATTCTCTTATGTGACAACAAAAGTGCAATCTTCCTGAGTTCCAATCCTGTTTCTCACAAACGGGCAAAGCATGTTGAATTAGACTATCATTTTCTTCGAGAGCTTGTTGTTGCTGGCAAACTTCGCACCCAATATGTGCCATCTCATCTGCAAGTTGCCGACCTCTTCACCAAAAGTGTCTCTCGATCTCTCTTTGAATTCTTTCGTACCAAGCTTCGTGTTCGTTCAAATCCGACGCTCAGCTTGAGGGGGGGTGTCAAGGATACATTACCTTAATATTACCTTGATCTTAGGAGACTAATTGTACAGCTTTAATATTTCCATTTTCACTGTAATTACCTTTTATAACTTCACTCTGTAACTATATATAAACGATGTACTCACAATGAATAAAGTGCAGTGAATTCAAACTCTCTCAAAACTGATGCTATGATGCATTACTAGTGTCATGAGCATCACAATATAGAGACATAAAATGATAGATCCAATAAAATGTATTGCATATCTCTTCTATTTCATGAAACTATCATTTTAATGTTATTGTGTCGCCATGTAGACGTGTGCCAATTGTTCTACATAGTATTATTCATGAAATAGACTTTTAGCTTTAGAAATTGCTGCAAATACTACCTAATAGATTAAATTAATTTCCAATTAATCCAGGATCAAATCTAGGTTATATAACATCAAACTAAGTTCATATATGCAAGGTTATACTTGTATTTCACGGGCTATGAGGCGAACTTAGGAATTTGGGCTTCTAAATCGTACCAAGCAATCAATTTTTTCATTTTTAAGAGTTTTACTGAATTAAATTTATTTAACTTAAAATCAAAAATAAAACAATAAATAAAATGAAATATTCAAAATATTTATATTACAATCAAATAACAATAAGAAAATATTCTAAGTGGTCACTTAAAAACTTGTCTTGCGATCTTAGAGGCAAAAACAAAGCATTGTACCAACACATAGCATAGCTATATATAATTAAGGGTGTCAACTAGTGAATCAAAACTTGAGGCTCAAGCTCGGCTCAAGTAAAAATTGTTCAAGCTTTTTTTGACCTATGCCGAGCCGAGGTTTTGCTCGGCCAGAAAAAATTTGGCTCTACTCATGATTCTAGCTCAGGTCTTGTCGAGTCGAGTCAAGCCGGCTCACGATTCCTTTTTTTGTTTTAAGCAGCAGCTGCTGCCTAGTTTTATTTTTTTATTTTTTTAAAGCTGCCAGCAGCTAGCTGCCCGATTTTTTTTTAAAATAAAAGTTGCTGCCTACAAAGGAGTTTTTTTAATTATTATTATTATTTTAAGTTCTGGCTCATCAGAAGCCGAAAATAGCACGTGACACAAGCCACGGGCAGCCCGAGACGACGAGCAAAATTGACACCGCTATATATAACATATGAGACTGAATAGTAGACAATTTGGGGGGGAAAATGATAATGTTAGCAATTAAAAATAATGAATGAACTAAAGGATCAAAGCAAATTCATAAGAATTATAACACAAATATGTACATAATAATTAATAAACCAATAGGTAGTACTATATTCATGAACCCCTCCTAAGTCATAATTCATAAATCAAAGGTAGTCCACAATCAAAGAATCAAAAGCTACTGTAAACTAATCACTAGTCATATTAAACTGAAGACAAATTCATTGGTCACCATCAATAGCACGATAAAGTAATAATCAATTACACATACAAATTAAAATAACTTACACATACACATATAGAAGCAGTTAGAGATAGAGAGACAATGCATTCATAGAATATTAGAATTATTTGTAGTCAAAGAAAGGGGATTATTACCAATTGGCTTCACTTGTATAGCCAAAAATTGCTGGATGAGAAATTGAGAATAAAGAGAACCAATGGTAGCCCAAGATCGAAAACTCTCAATTTAAATTTAGAATACATAATGGAGAATTGAGAAAAGTTCAATTGGTTTAAACAATTGCGGATGGGCCTATGAGATTTTAATTGGGTCAGTAAGTGACTAAGGATATATATGTATTGCTTGTGAGGCTTTAATTTCGGGTCTATGAATAATTTAATTTGGATTGTTAAAAAGTGGCTTTTAAAAAAAAAGACATTTTTTTTTTGGGAAAGAGCCGGACAGAGGCAGCGGCCTCTTGAACCTCTCCTCATGTCCGACTCTACATATATGTATGCCTCATGCAATTACTTTTGTTTGGTGGGGTAGTTTGTACAAAACAGTCATCACAAATATTTAACATAGAAAATGTCAAAATCTTGTATGTACTATATTGTCACGTCCTATTAAGCCCCTATTTAGTACTGATGAAAATCGAAATTTTAAAATAACTTAAAGCCAACAATTAATTTTAACTACATGTTTTATGGGTTCCACAACTTTTTAACCACACATTTCATCAACTTCTACAACATTTACTAAAAATCTTATTTTAATCACTACCGGGTGCTAAATATTGAGCCTATTTTTGACAACCACTATTTAAAAACGTTTTTTCTTTAAATACTCATTTTTAACACATTCGCAAAATAAAATACTCTACACGTAAACTCGAAATTTTTTCCTACTTTTTAACAACACATTTTTTTTTTCTAAAAATTACTGTTCAAAATATATTTTTTTTTGTCAAATAATGATTGTCAAACAGATGTTAAGTACCGAACAAATTAAAATGGAGTAGTAGAATCAAATATTCTTCACAATTAAAATAGAAACGATCTTCATCATTTATAGATGAAGGAATCGCAGTACAACGAACCCAAGAACGAACTTAACAAAATTAACAAACTAAACCTATAAAACGTGTGCTAACTAAAACGTGAAAGCAACACACGCTTTCTTTTATTTACTAAACGGACTAGAGTGAATAAAAGCTAACTGGGCTTTATTTTCAGTCAGCCCAACAGCAAGCAGCAGTCCGACTCCATAGGTCAGCCCATCAGCTTCACCATAGCTCATAGCCCATCAGCTTGTAATCTCTTCATCCCCCCCTCAAGGTGGAGGTTGGTGGAGGTCGCCCAACCCCAACTTGGAGAGAAGTCGAGAAAATTGAGGAGCAGGAAGAGGTTTAGTAAAAAAATCTGCAAGCTGAGAATGGGAAGGGATGTACTGAGGAAGAACGAACCCAGACTTATATAGATTTCGAA